GAGACGTAGATGGAGCTGTGTGGGCCCCATTGACTCCCAGGCCTTGCCACCAGTCCCTGCCCCCCTCTCCCAGTCCTCCTCCCTTCCACGTCTGTCCTCTCACCAGCAGGTCTGGCGGGAACAAGGCATGGGTCATCCTGGCGATGTTCTCCAGGGAGAACTGGAAGGAGCAGTTGAACATGCGGAAGTCGTGGAAGATGGCGGGGCAGTCCCGGGGGCAGATGTCCTGCTGCCCGCTGAAGGTAGAGATGGTGATAGAGTCGGTCCAGAAGGAGCAGGGCTGCATGCCCGTGAAGCCCCCATCGATGTAGCGCTATGGGGGGCAGGAAGAGTGATAAATGCTCATCTGGGGTCAGAGGTCCTCTTCCCCACCCAGGGAGTACACCCAGGAAATGGGTCCCTTGGGACAAACCTTGAGACCCAGGTCCAAGTGGGTGCGTGGTGTGTCCATGGTGGCCCCCAAACTCCCAGCCCAGTGCTCTGTCCCTACACTGTGCCCCCACAGCCATCTCAGTGGTGCTGAGGTGGGGCTCCCAGGCCTCTGTGGGGAGAAGGCCTTCCATACTCTGGATAGAGCAGGAGCAAATGCTCACTCAACTGTTGAAGGGGGCCCTGGGAATGGAGCCTGTTCCCATGGCCTTTTGAGAAGGTGAACACAAGGTGGGTCCGTGCAGGTCTCTCCAGACTGCCGTGGGTCCACACTGCCTCCCTCTTTTAGGTCAGGTATCCTCAGCACTCTCCAGGGCACCCCTGATCATGGCCTAGCCACCAGCCACCACACTTCCCTTCCCTCCTGGGGCTTCTGTTTCCTCAGCTATGAACACAGGACCACAGATCCTGAGGCTCTAACTCTCTGGGGTGCCTGGGAAGTACCCAGCTGACATGTAATATGTGCTCCATCTACTAGCTGAATCCTGGGTCTTATTTTCTTTCTATATAAAATGAGAAGGGGGCATGAGTTAGACCCTCCTCCTCGGAGTGTGGGGCCTGGACCTGCAGCACTGGCATCAGCCAAAGCCGGTTAGAGGCGCAGAGTCTCTGGCCCCAGGCCTAGCGAATCAGATTTTGCATTATTTTACAAGACCTCCCTGGGTGATTCATATGCACTAGCCTAGATGACGTTAAAGGTCCCCATTGTTCCAGGTACCAATGTCACAGGGTCTGTATCCTACATTCTCTGTCAAGTATGAGAAAATCCAGCAAGCCTATGGAGTTTTGACTAGCCAGGCTCAATCATGGGTTGGTGGGTCCAGAGTGAAGCCCGATATATGGAGGGGAAGTTCATCTCAAAGCCCCAGAAATCCGTCTACACTGGGAATTCTAAGTAGAAAAACACAAGAATCTTTCCAACTCTTGGTCTTTCCACTGAATCCTGAGACCACCCCCAACCCAGGGGCCCTCCCAGATGAGGGCCTTAGGGACCCGAGGCACCCCTGGGTCCTGGCTCACCCTCTCCCACTCCGAAGCACTCACCACGCCCCGGTAAGTTGGAGGAATGAGGCCACAGTACACGGGGACAAAGCAGCTGCAGTAGAGTGCCTGTGGGGAGAAAAAGGGCTGAGATACCCTGGCAGCTGGGTGGGCTGGGAGGGCTCACCAGCAGGCTTCTGGGTCACCACCATCCTGACCCTTCTTAAATCCAAGGCAGACGCACTGCCCTGGGGAGCAGAGCCTCGAGTTCAATTCCTGGCCTGGCCCTAACTACCTGGGTCCTCGTTACCCTACTAGGTAGTCAGGGCCCGATATCCCAGCTTTAAAGAGAGGGAGCCGCCTCAGTGACCTCCAGGGTCCCTTCTAGCACCATGTCTCCACGAATCCAGTGGACCCAACAACCATTCATGTATGTGTGGCCAGGTCCAGGCTCTGGAATCAAAGGAGGGTGAGACGCCCACCCTTACGAATGCCCAACGAGGGAGAGTAAGCATGTCATTCACTAACGACAGTACATGGTGAGACAGGTGCCGCGATGGAGATGAGCCAGGGCACTGTGGCCCCAAAAGAGGAGTATCCAACCCAGGGAGTGTGGGGCAGGCTGGTGATGATGGAACATACCCAGAAAGAGCAGCTAGAGTCTTGTCATGCAGGTGAAGTAAGCTGGGAAGGGGGGAAGGGCATCCCAGGCAGAGCACCTCAGGTGCAAAGGCACAGAGGCCTGCTTTCTGTGGTTTGCTCTGGTTGGCATGAGTTAGAGTGGAGCTGATAGAAGAGGGCTTGGAGAGAAAAGTCTTGAAGAGCTGAGTGCTAATAAACCCAGGGGGACACGAAGTAGGTGGAGGAGGTGTCCACAGCCACTGCCTATTCATTCCCCTACGGCCACCATGGCCGTGCCAGTGTGGGGCTGTGAGGATGGGTGGCAGGGCCTTGTATTCAGGAGAGGAGAAGGGGGTGGAGATATGGGACAGAGGGAGGGGCCCGGAGAAGGGGCCCCTTAACCCTTTTGTCCTGAAAATTGGGCAGACCCAATTTTCCTGAAATGTGGGCAGACCCACAGCGCTGTCCAACAGTAATCATTCATGACTGAAATTTATATTAATGAGCATCAGACAGTGGACAGAGTGCCCTTTCCGCAGTGATGCCCCACGGGGTGATAATTCAACCTTTTTATCAAGGGCCATTGGAAGACAGGCGACAGAATGGGGGACCGTCTCCACAAACTGGGCCCCACTCCCTGGGCCCCGCCCCCACACCCTGGGCCCCGCCCCTTGCCTCGATGAGCTCTTCCTTGGATGTGTACTCTGAAACCACGACACTCTCTCCATCTGTGAACCGAGTGAGGGACACGTGGAGCTTCCCCGTGGCGGCCTTGTAGGAGTCCTCAGGCAGGACCTTGTACAGAAACTGCCTCATCATCTGCACCATCTTGCAAGATGGGGACAAGGGTCCCAGGAAGGATTTCTTCACCTCGGCCACACCTACATTGAGGACCCTGAGGTACTCATCTGTGGAGGAAGCAGAGAGGAGCCGGCGGTCAGCAGCTCTTGGACAAGAGGGGTCGCTGATGACTATGCCACCTCACGCCGTCTCCAACAGATGGGAAACCCTAGAATTCGGAAGCAGGGCCGGTCTCCGGGGTCGGCTTGTCGTTCTGCGCACGAGGAGAACAAGGCGCGAAGAATGAAGTCACTGGCTCCAGAGAGTCCACGGCTAGTCAATGGCAGAACTAGACCCAGGCATCCTGCCTCCTTTCATATCGAGGGCAGGGGACCGCTTTCTTACCCCGCACTATTTTCTCCGGCGTCCAGGCACCACATCTGGAAATCTACCACCGGACTGCATTCTTCTGGGGTCTTAGGGGCTTTTTGCCCTGGGTGAGATTCCTCTTAAAACACTGATACGGTGGAAAGCCTTCACCAAGTGACACCTTGTGACACTTGCTTAGTGCCCACTAAATCTGTGAGCAGGGAAGGGGCACTGGCCTTGAGGCGAACTTTGTCTTGAAACGATTGCGTCATCTTCCCTTTATAGCCCCTGGTACAGGCGTGAGAGAGAGAAGGCCCTGAGGTGTGGAGCACAAAGGCCAGGTCTCTGGGATGGGGAGAGGAACCTTCTCCCTCCTTCTGGGAGGAACAGGTTGCATAAGGACCTACCCATGCGAGATGGGGTTTGGAGGGCAGATGTGTTGTTCAGGGGATTGCAGAGAAAGGTGTAACCTGTCTCCAGAATTCCCCTGGGGACGTTAGCCTTGTCAGCTCAAAAAGAAACTGCAATCTTGCCGATTCTCACAGCAACACTATGAGGTAGGTATTTCCAACCTCATTTTACTGATCCGGAGACCGAGGCTCGGAGAGATCGGTCAAGGTCAACTGGCCCAAGATCAACTCCCTGGCGAGTGCACAAAGTGGGATTTTAACCTAGACCCCAGAACCCATACTGCTCGCACTCCACTAAGCCACAAGCTTCTAGAGCCGGGCTTGTACCTGTTATTCACCAGTTGCTGTTAATGTCTACCCTGTGCAAACCCTCTGGCAAAATCAGAAGCAGAAATAGCATTTGGGAAGTTGGGCAGTCAGGAGCTCTCTGGCCCTGGAGGTAATTAAGCAGAGGTGGGGCAAGTACCTCAGTCAGAGGACTTATCGAAGAGATTCCTGCGTGAGTGCTAAGATTCCTTCCAACGTGGAGATTCTTAGATTCTTGTGGGGGTGCCCGGCAATATATCTGGGGAGTTATCGCGGTGGATATTATTTTCCTACTTACAAATAGAGCGGCTGAGGCACAGAGAGGTTAAGTGATTTGCCCAAAGTTACACACAGCAATTTAGAGACAAACCAAAGCTCGGGACTCTCTACACCTTCATGTTTTACAGTTCAGATTATTTCCCGTTGATCCTGGAGGTGGATAGGATAAAGAGATTTAGCATCGTTTTACAGATGTAGAAACTGAGGCAGAGAGAAGCTAAGTGCCTTGTCTGAGGTTGGAGAGCCAGGCAGTGTTTGCTCCCACTCTAAACCCCACCTTCTTCCCCTGGGCGTTGGACTGATCCCAGAGGCTGAGCCAGCTGGGTTGCCATGGTGACAGCCTTCTTTTCTCCCCCCCACCGACATCCAGAGTCACAGCTGCATATGTGTAGTAGGGACTGACCTGAGCGACAGAGCATCGTAGCTGTCACCCTCTTACAGGGGAGGGTGCTCCTGACAGGTGGGAAGGCCCTGCAGTTTTGGTAAGGCTGGCTTTACCATGTGCCAACAACTTGTACCAACAGCGTTTTCCCTCAAGGGAGGGCGATGGCCAGCTCACCAGTAGTGAAGTGACTGCGCATTTGGACGCCAAGAGGCTAGGTCCCAGACTTCTCGCCCACAAGACCAGTCAGGATGGGGAGGCAAACCGGGGTGGGGGCATGCCATTTCAATGAGCAGCTTGAGTGGCCTTGCATGGGTTGGTGGCCTTTCCTACAACGCCTGTGGGCCAGGAACCCCTGGTTGAGCTTGCCCCCACACACCTGAACTCCCGGCAGGGGATGCTCACTGGGACTGCTGGAAGAAAATTTGCTCCCATTGCACAAGAAACACATGTTCCTCGTGGAAAAAAATAATTTTGAAAAATGCAGAGAAGCAAAAAGATAAAAATTGAAGGGTTTTGGGATCCCTCCAACCAGAGATTAACATCTAGTTTATGTCTTCCCAGATTATATATTTTATTACATGTATTCTACTTATAAGAATACATACATGGAGTCATACAATACACATTATTTTGTAATTGATTGGGTTTTTTTGACCTAATAAATCATGTCTTTCCACATCAGTAAGTACCTGTTTATAGCCCAATTTACACGCAGCGTGGAAAGCTATTGTAAGGTTGTACCATTACTTACCGAGGAAGTCCCCAGTAGGGGTCGGTTATTTATTTTGTTTCTTTGCTTTTTCTATGCCTTTCTATGTTTCTTTGCTTTTCAATGCTGCAGTGAAGAATCTCATGCTAATTGTGTGTGTGTGTGTGTGTGTGTGCACGCGTGCCTACATCTTGTTCTTAATTATTTTCTTTAGGATAAATTCCTAGAGGTGGGAATGCTAGGTCAAAGGCATGCATGTTTCATCTTGCAATGCTTATTTGAATCATGGCATTTGTGTATTATCCATTTACAGCTTACTCTCAGCTCTTCACGAGTGGTGATGGGTGACAGGGACAAAGCAGTGACCGAGATAATAGAAATAGTATAGACCTCTCCAATATACTGACATCTGAAAATGGCGCTGTCTAGAAATCAGCAGTGCTCAAGCCAGAATCATGTAGCCAGGGAGGGAGGGGACAGGAGATTGTCTGATTTCTCCCACTCGGGTGCCCAGTTTAACCTTCTTTCTTGCTGCGCATTGGGACTGTATAGCAAAGGATGCCTTTATCTCTGCCTCTCCTTGTTTGCTTTTCGAGGGCTCTCTGTGTGTGTCCCTGTCGTCAACATCTCTGACCATCCCTTTCTCTGTCTCTCTTTGTCTCTCTCTCCCTTCTTTCTCCCTCTTTTCCCAGCCGAGAGAGAAGCAACTAATCTTCTGGTTAAACAAGTCTCTGCTGGTAGAGAGTCAAGTGTTAAGCATAGCAATTGCTGGATGCTGGGAGGAGGGATAAATTTAGCTTGCTTCTTTATCTCTGTACTTTCCAGCACCTTCTCCCATTTAAAGGCCTCCTTCCAAGCTGCAGGCTGCTGGGCTCCGAGACACAGTATCCCACACTGACCACAGCAAGATGGGATTTAAAAGCAGCACCACAGGAAACTCAAGGTTGGCTCTCCCACCCCAGCCCACACTTGCCACATTCATTTCTGCTTCCTCCCACCTCCTTTCGCACCTTTTATTATCTAAGTGCAGTCTGTCTCCCAAGCCAAGAAGAAGATTCTTTGGGGGAAGATCCTTATGGTCCTCGCCTCTCTAAGGCCTATCACTGCACCCCGCCTGCGGAAGGCCCTTCAGAAACCTTTGCTAGAAGCTGGAAACTCCTCAAGGACAAGGGATGGCCATACTCACCTCTGCCCACCAAGCAAGTGCCCACGACACTTGATGGGCGTTCAATATTTATTCAGTATGTGAACAAAGAAACATAAAAACCTGACAGGGAGGAAAAGCAAGCATTGGAGATGCTCCCAGGGAAGAGCTACTTGACTTAATTACCTAGTAAAAGCCTGAAGGCAAGGTCATCCCAGAGAGACGGATAGATAACAGGGTCAACGGTATTGATAACTGTGGCCAATTGACCAAATTTTATGCATCTGTCGTGCCAAGAATTTCAATAGAAAAATAAATACATAAGATCTTGGGACTGGGAGGTTTTGAAGGGCATTTGGAAGCTACTCCGGGTCTTAGCCACTCAGAGAGTCGTTTTACTCTTTTTAGGACCAGATCCATTTCTTGGAAAGAGCGCAGGCTTTGGAGCCAGGGAGATGTGGTTAAAATCCCAGCTTTGCCACATACTATCTGGGCCATCACTGGCAAGTCAAATAAGTTCTTCCAGTCCCAATTTTAGAATCTATAAAATGGGAATAATACTACCTTACTGGGTTGTGATGAGGCAGATCGCTTTTTAGGTGCCTGCACATAGTACTTGCTCACTATCAGTTACGCCAAGAATTCTCCTTGTGACCACGGAGAAGTCTTCTTGATGTTTCTGGCTTTCAGCTTTCTCATTTGAACTGGGGACAATGATCCCTGCCCCCACATCTTTATCGAGGTGGGCTCAGGCTCACTTTTGGATGCAAAGGAGCAAAGTAAAAACACTGTGGAGACGGGACAGTGTGCCTCTGTTTCAGGGTGCAGTAAGGTGCTAGGTCAGCTGTAATGTAGTGCTGTTGCTATCCACACTCTCTCCCTCTCTTGCCAACTTGGGGGGCTCTACAGATTTAGTAGGGAAAAGGGGCAGGGCTTAGAAGTATCACTGAGGAGGAAGGAATAAGATATATGTTTATCTTATGTATTTGCTTAAATCTAATGCCTCTCCCCCCTCCCCCCACCCCCCCATCTCTTTGTGAGACCAAGGATGGTCTCAATCTGGCTTATCCTTTCGTCCCTAGCGCCCGATATGGTGCCCGGAACACGGTAGGCACTTAATAAACATGATTGCATGCATGGATAATGAATAAATGAATGAACCTCAGGAATCGAAGGAGGGCACTGAGGTCCAGAGAGAGAAGCAGCTTATCCGAGGTGCCCCGAGAATAAACCCGCTTCTCTTCCCCTCCTCCACACGGCCTCTTGCTAAGTGAAAAATCGAATGGGCTGTGGCGGCCGACGACTTAAACTGCTGGGGATCTCCTTCACAGGGTGCCCGGATGGGGTCTGCGGCGGCGCGGGGTAGATCTGAGGTGGAGGATGGGACTGAGCGCCCCCGTCTCCCGCGGACTGGTAGCGCCAGCAACCTCGGCTCAGCCAATCACGCCAGGCGCCCCTCCCCCCGCCCCGCCGGCCGTAGCAGCAGGCGCGGTAAGCAGGGGAAGCAGGCAACGCAGCTTGGGAAACGGCGTGGCAGCAACGGCGAACAGGACTGCGTTTGGGAAAGCCCTGCAATTCTGTGGGTCCCTGAACCCGGAGCACCTAGGGTGTATTTTGGCTCTGGTCCCTAATTGTAGGCTGAATTATAGGCTGCCTATCCCCTGATGGGTTGTATCTGACTTCCTTGACTGCATATATAATAATACTTCTATATTATCTTAACAACAGTCATTTACCCATTCGCACTTGCGATCTCAGTGTTTCTTCACAGTGACAGCGTGCCCCTGAGGGGTAGTGACCCTGGTTTTATTCACCTTTTTATTTCCATACCCACACGGTGTGATTGAAAAAACGATTTGGCTTGCCGCTGGCGTGTGTCACTGAGCAGAACCTTCTGGGCAGTTTTCAGTCGGGGAGCCTTTATTCAAAAGAAACCTCAAGCGGAAATCCGATATATACAGCTAGAAACAGGGCTGTTCTAGGTTGAAGCCAAGTGGGGTCTCAGACCCTGCCCAATCGCCCCATCCCGCCCTAGGAAGGAGGCTGCTGAAAGCAGCCGAAGATTCTAGGAGCCTAGGTCAAAATATGAAACCAGAAGAAATCCTCTTATTTTACGAATTAGAAATCGAGCCCAGGATAAAGATGAAACTCAATAAATTCATCTGGATGGCTGGATGGTTGGATGGTTGGATGGACAGAGAAATGAATAAAGATGGTTATCCCATAGGCCACAGTCTGTGTTAACAGAAACTGGAACTAGAATGTGTGAGAAAATTCACATTTTTCTACTCTGTTCTGAATGCATTACAGGCTTTTGCCAAAGGCAAAACCACTCTGACCTAGTAAGCACTTAAAAAACAAAACCTCAAAGCCAATACTCTTCTACGGATAATAACAATCTTTCACACAGACCTTTTTCTAGCCCGAAGAGTTTACTAAATTGGCTTTAAAAGTTCATATCAGCTTATATCAGGTTGCCATGGAAACAGCAGTGCCTTCCTGTGGTTCATACCTGGGTTCCTGTCAAGGTACCCATGGGGGTCTTTCCAGGACTGGGGCCTCACCCTGCCCCTGTGTGCCTCTTCCCAGAATCCAGGCACAATCTCCCTGACTTGTCACTGAAGGATCTACTGATCGACTGGAGATAAAACAGGCAGAGAGGGAATGTATCTAGAAAGTTCTCTGGAACCTCAGAATGTTCTCAGGGTCGTTGCCTCTGCTCTTTTCTCTCTGACTGTTTTCTGTGGTGGACCAGAAGTCTCTTTGGGATCTTGCTCCAAGGTAGAAACCAGCATTGTCCCCTTTCCAGGCTGTGGCCTATCCCACCCTACAGACTCTCCTTGCACTACTGAGGGGACCCTACGGTAGTGCAAGAGCTGTGAACTTGTCACCCCCTAGTCTTAAAAGTTGTTTTTGTTTCGTTTTACTTTGTATTTTGTTTTGTTTTGTTTTCTGTGTGTGTTGCGGTGGGGAGGGGAGCAGGGTCAAAAGACCTCCAAGTGAGTCTCTGCTAAACAGAAAAAAGGCCATCCCTGAATATCTCCTCATTCAAGAGATGTTCAAATTAGGGTGCCACTGCACAGGAACACCTGTGTCTCCCTCTCTCCAAACCACGGTAACGCAAGTTCATTTCTGCCAACTGGAGACATTCACTGCCCCCGCTGTCCGAGACTTTGGAGAGTCAGCTCTCTCCATCCATGTCATAGGAGTCTTTTTTTTTTTGAAGCTCTCCAAATACATTTTATTTTCATTAAATGTCTAATCTATGTCATGGGAGTCTTGAAGTTCTCTTGAGACCACAGTGTTCTCGTTTATGACACTTGCCACGTTTGACACTTAGCACTTTCTGGTGCTGAGCCGGGCTCTGAGGCCTCATTGTCTCATTTAATCTTCACAACTCCTTTGAGGTAGGTACTAGAGTTATCTCTTTATACGCAGGAAACAGAGGCTCACCAGTAACTTGCTCAAGGGCGCACAGCTGGAAAGCCGCAGAGCTAGGCCTCCAAAGCCTATGTTCTTTCCACCGCTTTGTCTCTCAGAGCCTCTGCTTCCCACTGTGAGGCAAGGGGGTGGTTCTCACGAAGGCTCTTGGGATCTGCCTTTCTGGGACTTAGCTTAGGCACACTTCCTAAGGGCTCAGATGTCCCCAGGAGACAGGAAGGCTCCCTTTAGAGCAACAGATCCCAAACCACACCTTCAAATATATGTTCTTCTATCCCCACACCCAAAGCCCCTCCTCAGGGGCAGTCTGTCTCAACTCTTCTGGGTAAACACAAGTGCACAATCCTGCTTACTTCCCTTCGACACGCACTTTTTAAAAAATATAATATTTTATTTGTAAGTAATCTCTACACCCAACCTGGGGCTCAAACTCACAACCCTGAGATCAAGAGCCACATGCTCTTGGACTGAGCCAGCCAGGTGCCACCCCCCCATCTTTTTTTTTTTTTTTTT